CATTTAAAAGTAGAATAATTTAAACATTTTTCATAAATAAATTATAAGCTCTAGCATACCTCATTTATAGATTGAACAAGATTTATTAAGCAAAAATCATTTCTTCTCAAACTGTAATTAATTTTTGATGTTTTAACTTTCCCCTCTTTTCATGTTTTTTTAATTTCCACCATTTTAAGTCATTCAACTAGATTTCTTAGATTCTTGAATATTCTTAGCTGGATTTCCTATATGAAATTTTTTATTAAATGTATATAAAAAAAATGTTATGGGTAGAACCGAATGCAAATCAGAATCGACGGTTCAAGTTTGAAATAATTTATGAAATACCCAAAATATAATAAGTGATACCGGGTATTGAAATACCTAGACCGACCCATTCAATGTCCAAACCTACCTAAGATTATTTCGATGAACACTTTTGGATGAATTTTTCACTTACCAAAAAACCAAAAATTCTTCAATTTCATGTCGTGTATTTATTAATTTTACCTTTTCGTTCATTTAGTTTATCGATCTGTGTTAAGATTCTTGATCTTGGTCAACATCTTGCTATTAGTTAAGACTTAAAAGAATCTTGATTTAGATAGATCAAGACAATTTAAACGTAGTATTCACAGGTCATAAATTCTCCCCACTCTCAAATAAGGTTGACTCATTTATCTTAAAAACATCGACTTACATTGACATGTTTGCATCGTGTTCATGTATATACCCTTCGAGACAACATTGGGAGCTTCGAAATTATTGGTTCTTCTGTACACTTTACGTGACATTATGTAATATGTTCAGTTAAATGTGAAATTATGTACTTCATTTAATTGAACCTTTCATCTAATAACACTTAGTGCCTGTTTGACACCCATTATTATTAATTTATTTTATGGTTTGTTACATGGTTATTTTCAATCACATATTCATAATATAAAATATTTTACACTTACATAAAAAAAAAATCAATATTTTTTAACTACACATTCTCCTAAAAATACTATTGAAAACTCATTTTTTTTGCAAATTAATTAGAATCAAACAGGCTCTTAATGTCATCTAGATTGATATTATAGTATCAGTGATGCTAAATAACATTACTCATATTTAAAGTTCTAGGTTCATGTCTTCAAGATAACATTAGCAGTCTTGAAAGTCTCTTGTTCTTTGAAACATTGATAATATATTGAAAAGTCTAAGTGAGTGTTTGATAGGGATTAAAATTAGATTTTTAGTAGATTGTAATAAAAGTTTTTGAAATGTGTGGTTGAAAATATGTGAGACCCATGAAAATGTGATTAATATTGATTGTTCAACTTTGACTTAGATTAAAATCTGATTTTAATCTAAAACAAACAAGGCCTAATTTTTTTTGAGTTAACTTATAAATTTTGCGATTTTTTTAAATCTAATTTATTCTTCATTACAAGCTATTTGTATCTGTAGTATATACACAGTCTCTGCCCTCTATGTATATGAATATGTGTGAATTTATTTATGCATATATATATTTTTTTTCATGTTTTTAGGTTCATAATAAAACAGCCATTTAAATACGGCCTGGAGAAATCCAAGTGTTATCTCGATATCTGCACATAACATGCGTTGAATACAACTATAATTAGGGGTAGGAGCGATCCAATTCAATCCGATTTCAGAAAGAATTTAAATGAATTGAGATCTATGGGTATTTTGAGAATGGAATCATACAAAAAGTTCGGCTCTAGTTCCGGCTCAGGTTCGGTCCAATTTGGTTCCTTCAATTATGTTTCCAAATTCACTAACCGATACAAATGGAGAGTCTAACTTTACAAGTTCTTATGTTTATAGTTTAAATATATAAATTCTCCACATTTTATAAACTAAACGATTTATATTGTGTCAGTACTTGTGTTTTTTAAAGTTTAACCAAACTCGACAATTTACATCAATTCTCAATTTTAAAATGGAAAATAACAAATTTGGATTAAATAAGAGTTTTTGATTTTTGATACCAAAACAGAGAATTGGATCGGAATCGATCAATTCTCAATTTTAATACTCAGAATCGATTAGAACTAGAGTAGGATCGGACTAAGTAGATTGGTTACGATATGGTTCTAGTTCGCTCCAGCAACTTTGATAACTGTTGTCCACCCCTAACTATAAGTTACTTCAGATAAAATTATGTATTTTTAAGTTTGACCAGTAAATAAATAATTTATTCTAGAAACTTATTTATAATGTAAGAATATACTGGTAATAAATATTTTAAGATTTGTAAACATACACTTTGTAACATGGTTGTTGATTCCAGTGATAGGGACCTGATGCAGTGTATAGGGAGCAACTTTCCTTTGAAGAAAATGTAGTCCCAACTCACTAACATAACTTTCTAGGGAAGATATATTAAAAATTAACATTATCTGATATTTTTATTTCAAGGTTTGCTTGTTACAGTTTCAATTGAATTTCCTTATCGATAATGCTATGTGTACATAATTATTTAATTGATGTACAGAGAAAGGGAAAAAATTAATTTTGAAGAGAGAAAAAGGGGGAGAAAGAGGAAGAAAATTAGTTAAATTTTAATATAATGATGAAGACTGACGCCGTCAAAGATTTGGGTTTTGGTAGTTTTTTCTTGGGCAGTACCCAACAATCTGTACATCAATTTGTAAATAATTATATTCAAATATCATTATTCTATACTAACATCTTAATTACTATAATTTGTCCCTAGATTTTGAGCAACCGTGGCATGACATGTCTAACTATGTACAAGAAAAATGAAGGCAACATAAGAGAAAACATGTTCGAAAAACTAGAATAATAGAAAATTATCTGTGACAAATAAATAGCATTATTCTTCCACAATTTATAATTAAAAGATCAAGAATGTTTTATAGGTGAAACAATGAGACTTGGTAACAAAACCTTCCAGACAAGCTGTTATTTTTATAATTGATTCATCAAAAATGCTACTTGTACATCAAGAATTGTACATAATGATGTACATCACACTCACATGGAGGTGGGACCCACGTATATAAATTATTTTTTTATTCAAGCGGGTCCCACCCCTCATGTGAGTGTGATGTACACGCATATGTACACCTTGATGTACCGGTAGCAAAACCGTTGATTCATTCGTATACGAGGAATTAGCAACTTTATTCAATTTTCGAAAGGAGATTTTTTAATCCTTTTAACTTTTGAGGAATCTTTCGTCTATGGTTGTGAATAATTTTCTCCTTCTTCTTTTTTTGTCAATTGAAATATCATGGAAAATTAAAATTAATGTTAAGATTGGAAAACTAAAATTGATAACTTTAATTTTCCACGATGTGTCAATTTAGGTAGATAGCAAAAATGGACCGTAGATGTCAACTCTTCGTGGTGAAAATTACCATAAACAAGGTGTTTAGTTTTGACTTTTAAAAAATCAGGTTTTAATTTTACAATTAATATTAATAATAATATTTT